TAATTTGCTCAGTAGCCGACAACCCTGACCTTCTGTTAACAAAAATTGCCAATAATTCAGGAAAATAATTAAAGATGTTGCAAATCGGCACATTAATAGAGCAACATGTTCTCTATTTAATCGAGTTAACTCCAACTCTGTCTCTGCTACCAATTGTATTCGACAAATTTTTGAAAAAATCGGGACAAATAATTTTAATAATTCTTTTAAGAAGTATACCAAAAATTCAGGAACAAAATTACAATTTTGCAAATCGGCCCATTAATAGAGCCAGATTTTCTCAGCCTAATGAAGTTAATATCAACACTCTATCCACTTGCAATTATGACTAATAAATTGTTGAAAAAATGGCGACAGGCGCTTTGGCCAATAGACCACAAAATTGTGACCCAAAAACTCGGGAAAAATTCGGCAATTTGTCAGCTGCTGCTTAATATAGAGGAACATTTTCTCTATTAAATCAGCCCAAAACCAATTCTATATCCAACTTTAATTTGGCGTGAAAAAATGTACAGCATTTCCAAAACCGTCGATTTTCTCCGCAAACTCACATTAGGGAGCTTTCGATTTGAAAGGCCCGACTTCAAACACAATCGCTTATACAAATAGACTCCCAAGTTCATACCCTACATATTGATTAATGGACTTGGTGTGGTCGTGTATTTGCCAAGTTTTATTTCCCAGTTTTCGGCTAATTGCTCCATGGAAAAGGGAATTATGAAGCATCAAGCGCCCTACTAAAAACGGCCCATGATATCAATGCCTCGACTTCTGGCAAATTGCTTTTTCCCGACAAGGAAAAACAACTCGAAATCGCAGAAATACATGAAGCAACCGTTCGATCGACCTGCCCCTTAAATTTTTTTCCACGTCCCCTTGACACGATTATGGCGTGGCCGTTCCATAAAAATACTCTCGAACGTCTGATAGATCGAAACCAGACATCTACAACTTATTAGGGACCTTTGACAGACTTATCTCGAATCTTGATGATAGACAGGCCCATTCGCAAACCGAGCAATAAGGGACGAAAAGCCGAGATAAGGGATCTTTTTGCCTAGTTAAAGCAGATTGCATGAGCCAGATTCGACGGTTTTCAGCCCTTTTTTACAGCTCAGACTGCTGAAAATTATTGATTTGTGTGTGGTTGGTTAGGTGGAGGAGGAAGGCCGATTGGGGGACTTATAGAAGGTGTAATTTTCACCGGAATTTTTGCAAAGACAAAGCATTATTAATGGAAATGCATAAGTTAGCAAAGCGCTCGTAGGCAGGACATCAAAATGATTGCCTAGTTGATGTGAATGTGTCAGAACGCAAAACGTGGAGATTTATTGGGGCATCGGATCAGTGAAGAATGTTTATTTGGCCGGATTTGGTTGGGAATCGCGACAGTGATATGTGTTTATCACCCATCAGCCATCACTAATTGATCTTCATCACTCTGATAACATGTCTATTTCGGGCCAAGAATAATGTTTCCATTTAAGAGGGTGTCACCAATCAGCAAGGAAATTTCTCGAAATTACACACTTAATCCCTACCGAAAGGTTCTGGCACCCCGTGCTCTATTATTGTCACCCAAACTGAATAGAGCCGCCAACAAAGCCCAAACATATTGAACCCCGCGCCAACTCACACACACTAACTGACCACCTTTAGATTCCGTCGTTCTGAACTTGTGCGGGTTTTTACACAAAAAAAATGAACCGTGTCGCCATTGAGGAAAAAAGGCCCCTTCCGATCCCACTGTCCATTTCATTGGCATGTTTGATGTTATGTTTATGCAGGAGGGGCAGCTGCTTGTTGATCGCAAATACTTATAAAGTCAGGTAGTTGGGGATCGACTTTTATTTAGCGCAATAAAATTCAGATTTTCCAAAGTCGCTCTAGTGTCAAAAGCAGTATTTGGCCTAACTAATAGAGCCTGATTTGCTTCAGCAAATTCAGCTGCCCTCCATGGTTTATGCTCAACTTTCAAAAATGTGTGAAAATTGCCCTTTCAATAGAGCCATCTTTCGCGAAAATTTCAGTTTCAAATGGTTTATTCGAACGTCCATTGTTCTACAAAGATATGTTTATTTCAGACGCACACTAAAAAAAAGGTTTAAGGTGGCCAACAGAAACGTTAACAGAGAAACCTGCCCGTAGCGATTTTTTTCCAAAAAATTGTGCTAAAAAACCGTCACGTTGCTTCGAAACTATGACTCCTCAACTTCAAAAATTCTTGACTGCTTGCTTATTTTGAACAGCTTCAAGTTTTAAAATTGTCACGCAAAACACGATGCACAACTCCCAGAATTGTCCGATCCTCATCCATTAAAATGGATAGGCAAAATGTGCTCGTTTAATAGAGCCATATTTGCGCTCAATATTCGTCCTACTTTCCATGTTGTTTGTTGTCCGTTCTTTCTGGTTTTCGGGTTGTGCAACTGCGATGCTGTTTTGATGCATAAACACCCGTACGACCAATTAGCGAACTAATTGGTCGAGGGAAAACTCTAATTACTAATTAATAGTTACGTGCACATCAACGGACCCAACGCAATCAATTAGGGAAACTTTAACCCCGCCGTGTGCTGTTGGATGTTTAATCAGGAAACGTGAAAATCTTGTCAATGAAATGTACAAGTTTGTGATAAATCAATTGAGGGCCCTCTCACATATCAAAAACACAGCACCGGGAAAAGACAAAATAAAGGCAAAACTCCTGAAAAGCGTAACCGAAGAAACCCACAAACTCATCCTTACTGAAATCAACAACTGCATCAGAAATAACAAAATTCCGAAAACATGGAAAAGTGGTGTAATAATAAAACTACAGACCTATCAAATTACTCCCGGTGCTGTGCAAAGTCTTGGAACACAAACTAAAACAGAGACTCGAAGAACTGGTCGGAAAACATATACCAACCTACCAATTTGGCTTCAAACATTATCACTCGACTATTCATCCGCTATTTATTTTGACCAACAACATACAAACAACCCACCTAACTGACGGAAAGTCGGCATGTCTACTCATGGACATCAACAAGGCTTTTGATAGTGTCTGGCATAGGGGCTTGCTATACAAACTATACAAACTCCACACACCACCATATCTACTACACACCATAAAGAACTTATTAGAAAACAGACAACTACAAGTACGAATTGACAACACACTCTCCTTTTCTTTTTCCCCTGAACAAGGGCTCCCTCAAGGATCCCCCCTCTCACCCTTTCTCTACAGCATATACTGCCATGACATATACAATTACAACTTCCCAGACAAAAATCAAATATGTTGACGCTGACGACACAGCACTTATTGCACACGACAAAACTACTGAAAAAGCGACTGAAAGACTCCAAACACTGACAAACAACACAATGACATGGTTTTATAAACGGAGACTAACGCCAAACGCGACAAAAAACCAACTTCTGCTCACGAACCACAGACTCAACGCTGACTCCTCTACAATAACTGCAGACGGCCAAACGACCACACCTTGGGATAACAATCGACCACAAACTGAAATTCACTAAACATCAGAACAGAAACGATAAAAAGAACAAAACACTTTCGATCACTAACATACAAAAACAAAGGAATTAGTACCAATACCGCGACAAAAATATACAAAGCGATCTGCAGACCCCTCTTGGACTACGGACATATACTCATGGCCAACGGAACAGAAAGGACAAAACGATACGAACAAACAACTGAACAAATTGCACTAAGACTAATAACACGAATAAGACACCCCCAAAACCCCCTGCACAACCCTTCCAACCAACTACTATACGAACGAAAGTCTAATACACTTACAGACAAAATGGACAAACAACCCTCACAACTGGACCATACTGAATCCCCTTTGCCTAACAAGACGGGCAAAACATTCCCGTTTTTGTGCCCCAACAGATACTTTACTAGAACACCTACAAACGCAACTGAACCAACGACTAAGACCTGTTTGTTTTGTGGGCCGGGAACTTTTTTTTTATCACTGATTGGGCTTTACCAGTGTTAGGAATAGGACTTAATTTTAGAATAAGCTAGGCTAAGACACATATGTACTACTCAAGGGCAGAAAGACCGATTGGGTCGATAGCCTATTTATACAGGGTTGCTCATTAGTGCGTCAAAGTGCGATATCTCAGTAAATATGAACTTTACAAGAAAATACGTCCAACGAAAGTTTTTCACGTTTAAAAGGTCCACATT